GTGCTTTGCAGAGGACCTCACGTCCATCCTTAAATAGTGCATGTGGGAGGGGATCCGGGCCAGCGGCACGAAAACGATTGAGGGCTGTGATCGCGTTTCGGACCTCGGCCTCCGACGGAGGCTCTAATCTAACCGTCCATGGCACGTCCTGCATGGAGTTAAGAGTTGATGCATTTCCGAGATTGGTATTGGAAGGCAGTAAATTATTGCCAGTTATCACACGATCACGTCACAGGTGCCGATGGCACTAAAGTGAGTCAAGTACTACCAAAGTGAGTAGACAACTTGCATTTCTGGATCGTCGATGATTTAAATATGCAGGTCAGGTGGCTACTACCAGATTGCCCAACATCCTTCGCTGGGTTGATCCTTTCCTATGAAATCATGTCGGGTAGAGATATCTCAGCAGCAGTGACCTCAATATTCATGTACGTTTCGTTTACCATAACAGTCACAAGGTCTTGAAACCTGAGGAGTTCGAAGCTAGGTTAGATTACCGAGAAGACCCTGCGTGTTTGTATACAAGCAGATTGGGGTCTAAGAGGTTATAAACGTATGTTTGTATGCAAATTTCAAGCGAGCGTTTATACTTATCCAAGTGGTATCCACTGCCAGTCATCTTTCTGTTGAACCGCTGTCAAAGGCGTGGAAGCCAATCAAATTCGGTTTGCGCAGTGCTCCGTGTCAACAGGGGGTTAAAAACCCAGACCTTCAGATCTGGGATTATTTTGTCAGTGTTCTGATTCTGAGCTGCAAGCGGACAGGGCTATATATGTTACCTTGTCTGTTTATGGTTTTGTGTCTCTCGCCTTTTTACGTATTTCGGATGGCAACATTCTTGCGCAAACTGTGTCACCTTTATAGGCTTTTGGGTCACGGGTTTGGATTGTAATGTTACGCTCTTCATTCAGGGAACATTCTCTTTTGTATGTGAGTGATTATAGTAGCATTGATGCCAATGTGGCAATCACATTTTTGAGAGAGAACACTATATGCAGGAAGCGTCATTCGTCCCAGTCATGTGCTCGGGCCTCTAGTTCGCTTGTAATCTGAAGCTACGGCACGCCGTGGAAAAGAATCGACATATCATTCTTTCTTTTACGGTAGTCATCCACATTTCGTTTGCGTTTCCAACGTTCTCCTTAGTGAACATCCGAGAAAATGTAAACAATGCATCGCGTATTTCGAAGACGAGTGGCGGACAGGATAGTCGCTTCTGTATCATTTCCTGACAGAAGAGTTGCTTAGAGTAACCGAAGTTCACTATAGTGTAATATGTTCAGATCACGGATGAGACGCATCCTATTTGCCGGTTTAGCTTGGACCCCTATTATTTGACACGCAGAGTTTCTATGTTTCCTTGCATCGAATAAGTTATCTTTGATCGAATATACCTTTGACTCAAGCACATTGTAGTATATTACAGTTAGAGTGTAATGGCATTGTCGGTTGCTCACCAGGTCGCTGCGGCTGCATTCCGTTGTCGGACAGCATACTGCATCCTAGGTTTCGCGGTAGTTTTTGCAACACAAACTATTCAAACTTTGACAGCAATCGATGCTTCGATGGATGACGCCACTGTAATGTGGATGGCAACAACGGACACGCATTTAATCGGTCGTTCAGCAATATTGAATGTGATAGTGAGCGGCGCTATATCACATCTAGTAACTAATTCACGATGGTCGTTACCGTCCTCCGTAGCTAAGTGGTCTCAACCACGGACTGGCAACAGTCGAGTAGCGGGTTCGAGTCCTACCAGGGTCCGATGGAATGCGCACTGCTGAAGATTCCCGAATGGATGCAACGCGCGTACAGTGCTTTTCTTTGCGTGTGAAGACTGTCTGTGTGAGTTTAGATGTGACCAATTTCCACCTATACCATACAACTCCCCCTACTACTCTTCTGTAATATTGAATGTATCGCGGGACTTTGGTGAAACATACAAGACAAACGCTTCATTAGGAGCTGTCACTCGAATCGGGATAGGATGCAGCGGGTCGGCATGTCTAACACTGGAGCATTGCTCTAAAGTCAACTTGGTTCCTCTATTCTGAACTGAAGTTCGATGCCAGGTATCGAGATTAAAGTAATAATTTGTCTGGGTCCAATGGTACAGCTCATATTGCGGTTGCTCGCTCTACGGTCTCTGCCACTCTGTCGCACTTCCGCGCCAGCTCAGCTATATATTTGAAGGGTGGAACAACCGTCCGTTCTGTGCTGAACCAAAAGAAATGAATGGTACTATAGCGTCTCTTTACCTCGATCGGAAATAAAGCGGATACAGATGAAATGAAATTCTACAACAATCAGACCACTTTATTCCTATTCGTAGACCATTAACACAGCTTTACACACTGAAATAAAAGTTCTGTCGCGATGTTTTGGATTTAACTTGTCGTGGGCAAGCAGCGCATGTTATCGTGATCGCCAACCCAGTTACCTTACTGTAAATGTCGCTTGCCGCAGGTTCTAGCCCAGTAGGCTAATCCCAAACGTTGCCGATCAAGCTAACGTTGGGGCTTATGTGCGTTAGATGAAAGCTTTGCGAGGTAAATGGGGATGTGATATAACAATTCTGCACACGAACAAACCGAAACACGCGTGCGTGGTGAAGTAACTGGCAGCCCGAGGTTTAGATGCAGCAGACAACGTTTAATGCCGACATTTTAAGGTATAATAGACGTTGCGAATGCAACGAAATTCTCTCAGCCAAGAGGTCGATTAGTCCATGCTGACGTTGAGCCTGGCACTGAGGGAACAGACACGCCGCTACAATTTGCACAAATGACTGCATCTGCTGTAATGAATGCCAGATAGAACTGAAAAGCTTGATGGAGTGTCTTTATTGTTTCTGTACGAATAACGGTTAATGGCAGAAGGTATATCCGGAAAGTGAGGGTTTTAGCGCGTGTTTCAGTCAAGCCTCTTCTAAATTAGCTGAAGGAATAAAGAGTATTTTGTGTTCGCCGCAATCAGGCGACAATTCAGATACGTCAACTACCTCTTCGGAAAAGCACCAGACGTCTGTTTCGCCCTATTGGGGCTCGTCAGTGGTGCGCTTCCTTCGGTCCTCTACGGAGGATCGGACCTATGGATGTCAGTGGCTGGTGTCACCTAGCCCGCAGCTTATGTCACTGAGTCATGGGGGATGGTAGACGACCATCATGCATTGTTAGATAATTGCGATACAGCCCGACCTATCCTCCACTGCGATGTAGGCACCTGCCATGCGAGATAAATCAGAGGAATAATTCCTATGCCTAAATATTCATCGGATAGAGCTGGCATCTCCGAGTAGAATGAGTGTAAAGTGGTCATTGCGCATGCCAGGCCCTCGACTCCCGTGACGTGCGTTGCCAGCGCACCAAAGTAGTGGATGGAAGAAGAGGGGAGGCCAAGCGATGACTTGGTGAAGAGGAATGTAGTCTTTCACTCCGAACTTGGCTTAGATTAGTATCCCTCAAGCGCCCGACTGGGTCCGAAGGACGATGAACACGTCTGGTTGAATAGGCTTGTCAACTTGGCAAGGAGCCGACCTCATTGGTGTTTGTGTTATTAATTTATTTGTCCCTCCTCATTCCGCTTATCTTTCCCCTCAAAATACGATCTCTCTCTTAAAGTATAATATGTTACTAGGCAGTCTGTTGGCTGCTTTGCACTCTAACATGTTTATTACCTTGCTTTTTCGTGTGTCATTGTGTATTACGGTACAATGGTTGAAGTGTGCTTTTCACCTTTAGCTACTGCCTAATGATGATGACAATGACGGTCAGTGTGTGCTAAGAATGCAAGGAATAAACCTACGAGAGAGTGAAGTGACAAAATCATGTAACCGCACACGGACAAAAGTGGCATTCGATGTGGTTTCGTGGACACGCTAGGAGCAGTGTAATGCGTAGCCTAAGGCGATGTATTTTGACCAACAAGCTACAGTTAGACTTCCGATTTCATCATGCTTGAAAAACTATGTACACTAGCACCATTTAACACCGACCAGGACAACACACTCCCCATTGTGAAATGACAGCAATCAGTCTACACTCATGGTTTAATGTAGAACCGAATGGAATCGATTGTCAGATTCTGCTACCTATTCCGTTACGTTCGTGCTAGTGCTGAGGCAATTATGATCGTGTGCGTAGACCTTCCGGCCCGTTTTGTCGTAGTTAAACTAGCCGTGGAATGTACGGTTGAAGTCATGGATAGAGTGAGGTGAGCCATTAGAAATACTGTAGAGAGGCGGCAATCAACGACTAGTCGGGAACCGGAAAGACAACATAACTGGATAGTAGGGTATAACCCATGGGCGTAATGGATGAGACGAGACAAGGAAATGGAGCCGAGAGCGGATCACGATACATGTCTGGTAAGGAAGCTGGGTCCGGAACAACGGCGGAGATTTTGTCGAGTACGCAGTGAATCAGACAAATACCCCGCGAGCGAAGCGCACAGCACTGAATGCGGGCCCAATGCTGCAGCCATGGGAAAGCAACTCGTGAGCTTTCGAGTGATTCCTTGCTGACCAGAATGGGATCTGGCGAAGCGGAGACATGGGATGAAACATGAAGGGGTTGTTCCCAGGCTCAAGCTCGTAAGACACATGGCCCGTGTCCAAAATCTTCATCAGCGGTACGTTATGGGAAGGAAACACGGTCCATACCTGTACGGGTTAACTAGTGGTCAGTTTGCACATTTTTGTGGCAATACACGCTCTTCTCCTCTCCCGCGTCGATCTCACTACAATACAACCTAATCAACAGATTTGCTCTGGTATCGGCCGTCAAGTATATTAACTCCGTATATTGGTGCACCAGCCACGCAGAATTTGAGCCACACGTCTCACTATGAACATAACAGGACACATTAAACCGCAAAACAGTCAGAAATCAATGCTTCAGCAATAGGATTGAAACTGAGCAGGCAGCTTCTGAGAGTCCGTTAGTAAACCCTGATCTCTTGGTTATTAGGAAAAGCGAATACGGGTAGTTGAAGCTTACTTGTGGTTCGGCAGACTGCAGACGTTGTGTCAGTTCCTTCACAGTTTGTTCCAACTCACTCGAACGTTGTCGAGCACTGTTGAGCTGACTGACGGTTTGTTGCATCTATGAAAAAACAAGGAGGAAGGTTGGAGTGATTCGCATGTATCGGCGTTTCACAAACTGGATGATTGTTAATGGCTTTGCATAATCAGTAGGTAATATCTGAGATGCAGGTGTCAGTTGGTATGGAAACAAAAGTGCAAACGTAGCAGCACGCTTCGAACTTTAGCATTTTCAGTTTAGCCGTTTGATAGGTACAAGTAAAAGCTGGTCTCCAGTCGCTGTGTATTACGTGTCTCCGTTTGCAGTTAACCTGTACACATGTTCTTTCAGTATTTCACAAGACTAGTTTGTTGCTGTTTGTAGCTTTTCAATGTCCACTTGTTTAACTGCACTGACATCTGCCTCCACTTTTGCTATGGTGAGTCCCGCGCAACACTGATTCGTTCTCCATCCGCCCATATGTCATCGCTACCAACCAGCATCTGACGCTCACTCAACACGTTAAGCCGCGAGAACACCGTTTAACGGCATCCACTTAAAAGTTCACCAAACATAATCTTCGCGTTTCAACGGACACACTGTGACCCGAATCCCTCGCTTTTCGTTACAGCGAGAAATCAAGTAAAATTGTTCAACATATTTAAGGTTAAACCACAGTATTAAAACCGTTTTAGACTCGTTGATACGGCCATAAACAAGCCTATTCTCCATAGATTTGACTGAAAAGTTTCGTGTTTTTGCAAATCTAAACCTGTCGCGTGTTTCCCTTTCTCGTCACAAGCGACAACTGGTGTTGCGTATCTTGAGAACAAAACAGCTATGGACGAGGAAGCTAAGACGTCGACTTTTGTTCCGTCGCATGATCAGGAATCTCTGGAGGTAACCAATGACAATGATGTTAAACCACTATGTCTGGATGCACCACACGATAGCGGACAAGTCAGTATCCTGTTTAATGCATCGCGTTGCACAGGAATCCCATCAGTGTTCGACAGCTATGAAATCCCAGCGATGGATGAGCGTCCGACGGATGTCAACTAAACCAGGTGAGCCAGTCAGGCATTGACCATCTCCAACTACTTGTTCGCACTTGGAGAGAACAAGTTTCTTACCACAGGTACTCTATGACCTGGTTGGAAGGCTACAAAGCGAAACGAAGGGGGGAATTATGGGGTCAATCTCGTAACATCACAACATTGTCACTGGTACAGTAGTGGCCAAGGGACACTCGCTGGCTGCTGCCGCAAGAGAGGAGGCTGGTCTTTTATCTCCCAAAGCGGATGTGAAGAACATCATGTATGCATGGTCATTCAAACGGGTTTTTCTAGCGTTAGCCACCACAGGGTGGATTTGCGGGGGGACATTCCCACTGCAATCATCACAAAAAGGCGTAGCAATTGCAGGGTGGTCATTGTGAAGCCCTCGTTGTGTGATTGGATTACGACGCCCAATCTCGATGTGGACTGTGATTCGCATTGAGGCGAATCTTGGCCGATTGGATCACTAGGACCGTAGCTAAACCGTTTGGGAATTAAGTGTTGCTCACCTGTCAACCTTGCACATCACATTGGAGTTACGCGTTGCAATCCAAGCACACAACGTGTACTACAATATGACTCTCCAATCAGTCACTAATCGTTGTGCTCAGCGTTTCCCATCGTGACCCGGTAGCCAAAGGCATAGAGGCTTCGGCTAATAATCCGATGGTCCCGGGTTCATTGCCTGCTGTCGCCACCTGCTGAGATCAAATAGGGTCTAGCGAATTTCCCGCTACACCTGCCTAGCATTTGTGAATGTGGATGTCATGCGTGCAAAAATGCGCTTCTTGTTTTCCACTTACAGCTACTAACTGGCTGTCGCCTAATGATTTTCAACAAGCAAGCATTTCATTGCTTATTTCAGAACTTCATCATCTTTTCGCACCCATTAAAAAGCTGAGAGCCGTAACTAATACGCGGTATGCAGTCGCACCATTTCTGTGTTATCAGTCAAGTTTTGTTCTGCATCCAGCAGTTAATTGCGTTCTCAGTGCATATCTGTGCAGCAGCTTCGGTTCCATTTCCACACCCCAGGCTGCCTTCCATACAATTAAGGGTATCTATTGTTAGTGAGATCATCTAATTCCCGACTGCTCCGGTGAGGTTGCATTTTTCTCTGAGAAATGTAACACCTCGCACCTAGACTCCATTTGAACATCTGTTCATTTGTTCTGCTCCTCCCGATGAACCATCTTTCAACGTTGCTCTCAGCCCACTCTGTACAACCTCGCCCCAAGCAGAACGCTTTGAATCCAGCCAGTATGTACTCTTTGTCATTCTCTCTTGGCTGAGGCAACTGAACCGTTGGTCCATAACTTGGATAAACAATAAGCCGTGTTGTTTGCCTAAGCTAACTACAGCAGAAACAGAGTAGGGAAAATGTCACCAACCTGATTAGTCTGCTCATTCAGTTGTTGTTGCGTCCAGTTCAATTTCTGCATTGTCTCGTTCTGCTGCATTTGTGCTTTCTCCTGATCTTGGCGATAACGATTCTCCTGAGGATGAAAGTAGCTAGTAGGTCAACGCTCAGATATATAGGCTAATTTTCTATTCATTTTAGGTCAGAGCGCTTGGCAGTACGGTAGCCGGATATAATCAAAAGTGGTTTAACTAAAGTGTATATCCAACTACTTCAAAAAGGCTTTTTAGATCACAAATGTCAACTCAGATTACCTCACGGCATTCTGAATATAAATGGAAGTCTGAACCACATTGAAAACTACCAGAGAAACCTGATGGTAGTGATTGATATCATGTGATCTTTCTCCCATGAGTAGGCATTAACCACTGAGATGGTGAATTTCTTGTAGCCGCCACAATGAATGGTAAGCGAAATCAAACCAATTACCAATCCGTTCAACGTGAAGGTATCACAAGTGGATTGTGAGCACAAGCGCATTGTTATTTGAGGTGACTGTACATTTTGGCAAGTAATTGCATTACATCTATGCAAGCAACTGATTTAACTATCTCTGTTGATTCCACTGCCTTAATATCGCGGACACTACAACTCGTAGTTACAAGTCAAACCAAGTCAGGCAGATGCAAACGTACGTATATATAAACGGATGGACAGGTAAATAAACAGAAGGGCCTAACAGTACATTTGGCTGCCTCCGGCCCTAAGGTTACGGATCGCCGTGAATGCAAAGAAGGGCAGGAAACCTGTGCGCACACTGAAACCATGGATGGCACGTGTTGCCCCACCCACGAGTAAACCGCACGTCTAAGTCAAGAGACATGCTAATTGTAGCCACGACTAAGTTGGAATAGTTTCACATTCCTTCAGCTAGCTGAACGGGCTTAACTCCGAATGGACTGCTAACGGTGAGTGTCTGCTGCAACTGTGTGCGGAGCATCAGTTGTTTCTTAGTAGCACTGCTTTTAGGCACAGTGGGCGCTGAAGTGCCACTTGGCGTCCTCCTGTAGCTGGCCAGCGATAGACTCAAATTGACCACATAGCCATAAGTTACACGTGGCATGGTTCCATCCTGGATTGCCGCTCGTACTGGAGTACCTGCGTCAATTCTGATCATGCCTTAGTTCGCTGTCGTTTCACAATGAAGTTTAACGGGAAGCGCACCACGCCTCCTCCAATTGGCAAATGAAAAATTGTCTCAGCCCTCGGTCAGTCAAGCCTATCAAGACGCACTGCATACAAAACTTTCGCTGTCTTCATCTGATGACACTGAGCTTCAGTGGAATAGGATCTCGGCCGCCATGCACGACGCAGGAGCATCTGCTGGGCCACTATCAATGGTCACCGCACCAGTCACTGGATATCCGATAGGTCGGTGAACCTGTTGGAAGCTAGAAGAAACCTTCCGGCTGGCTCTGAACACAATGTGACCATACGGGCTATTAGGCGTGAACTAAAGCGGAGCCTACGTGCTGACAAGGAAGCCTGGTGGACCAGTCGGGCTCAAGAAATGGAGGAGACAGGAACAGTAGGCAATTACCGCAAGCTCTTCAAGAAAATCCGCACCACTGGTCCGAGAAAACCAGGCGTCAGTGAGAAAATCATGGACAGTGCGAATGCACTGATACACAATAAAGAGCGCCGTATGGCTCGTTGGGCCGAACACTTTCAAGATCAGTCCAGCTGGTCCCTGATCCCGGACCTCTTTCTACTCAGATGATGCAGCACGAGCCATGGACTTTGAGTTTAGTGCCTCCGTCGGAGGCCGAGGTCCGAAACGCGATCACAGCTCTCAGTCATTTTCGTGCCGCTGGCCCGCATTCCCTCCCACTTGTAATATTTGAGGATGGAGGTGAGGTCCTCTGCAAAGCACTGACCTCCCTATTCGAACGTATCTGGAAGGAAGAGAGTGGCCCGACTAATTGGAGCGAATCGATTATAATGGCAATATACAAGAAGCGCAGTCGCACAGACTGTTCTAACCACAGGGGTATTAGACTAGTGCAGATGGTGACAAAAGTACTGGCTTCGATTCTCGTTCGTCGCCTCACTGCGGAACGGGAATCTAGGATTAGGGAACGGCACGCCGGTTTCCGCTCAGGACGTGGCTGTATAGTCCATACATTCACTTTGTGGCAGTTGCTAGAGCAGCGCCAAGGATACCACAGGCCGCCAGTAGCTGTGCTCCTCGATTTCAAGAGTGCGTTCGATTCAGTCGATCGATCGACTGTGTACAAATAGTTGCGCGGAAAGGTGTTCCCACGAAAGATGTGAACATTCTTCGTGCTCTATACTCGAACACTACAGGCCACGTCAGGGTCTAAGGTGTCCTATCGGATAGCTTTCCGACTACAAGTGGCGTTCGTCAGGGTTGTCTGATTTCCCCATTTCTGTTCATTTTCGTCAAGGATTCTATCATGGAGTGTTTCCTTGCGGAATCTCACGATGTAGGCGTTGAAGTGCTGCCTGGTGAAAGGTTAGTTGATCTAGATTATGCG